TAACAATAATCTCTCTCAGTCCCGCGCACGTAGTTAGTTAAACGAGTAGCCGAAGGTTCAATTTTCGGCCTTTCAAAAAACATCCCTGGCGACGCCGCTGGAAGTGACTAATCTTTGAAAGCGGAAGTGATTTTAATTTTCACCTCTTTTTTCCAGCACTTAGCCTACTGTAAAATGCGTCTTGTTAATGTCGTGGGCCTATGCTGTTTTTTGCACAAAGCTCAACATTTTACTTCTCAGAATATAAGAACGTTATAATAATATATAGCCTATAAACAGAGGGGGAAGAAGTCCTGTATTCGAAATCCTACTCAAGTAAAAGCTCAAAAGTATTATCAGTAAAATGTGCATTAAATGTCTAAGTAAAATTATTTATTTTTTGTAAAAATCTCCTGTTATTCATAGCCTACAGACCTATGATTGTATTATATAAAATAATAATACTAATACTGATGCATCATTATTGTTGAAGCTGCTTGAGGTGGAACTAATTATACTCATGTCCTCATACCTAAATGTCAAAATAGGTTGTTTTTCAATGCCTCTCAAAACGTCTTCGTAAAGGACAATTCACCACTGAAGTCACTCCCTCGACTGGCGTACTAAAGAAACCTTCAAAATGGGGACGGGTAGGGGGGTGGCTGGGATGAAACTGCTTGGTTAGGTATAGGGAAACATCTGGTTTGAATTACAATAAGTGCATGACGTCAGTCACGTAAATCATGACTAACTCTGTCAGTTAAGCTATTTCACAAGTCAACGTTGACTTGTTTGCATATGGGTGTCCTGTGTGAAAGTGCTCCTGTTTGACACATCTATCCTCTCCATCCACCTCCTCGTGCAGACTTCCTTGCTCTTCATACTGCATCACCTGACTTCCTCCTTTGCTACATCCCACGACCACTAGAGGTAGTCGCCGCCTTGCAATAAACGTAAATCATAATAAGATGCTGCACAATCGACAGCAGTTTTTCTGTTGAGGATGGTCTGAATACACAGTAAGCTACTTTTAGCCAGTGGCTCCTAACCTAGGGGTCAGGGACCTCCAAAGGGTCTCCAGTGATTAGGCGTCATCTTTAAGTCCAGTGTCCAGTTCTTATAGTACAGCCAAAATCTCAGCGTGCCAACTCCTAATATTCGTAATGGAAATTAAATAATTCACTTCTTCTTTTCTCCATTGGATGAAACTTGGCTACAGTTATAATAGGCATGTATACTGTGTCTAATAAAATACTTAAAAATAAGTTGCTCAGCCATCCTAGTTTTAATTATTAGAGAAATTGTTCAGTGATCCAGCAACAGGAAGTCTAACTGCTATGTTTGTTTCCACAGAAATTCAAGCAGTAATCGGAGATGACGTCATTCTACCATGCCACACCGTGTTTGACAAGAACAATTCAAAAGTGACGTGGAAACACAGTGGCCAGATTGTGCACACATATCAGTATGGGAAGGACTATCTAACTAATCAGCACTAACTTCAAAAATAGAACATCTCTCTTCCATGATGAAATGACCAGAGGAAACCTTTCACTAAAACTGACCAATGTCACTGAACGGGATGCAGGAAGTTACAGCTGCGAGGTCCCAGAACATCCCGGACATCTCATTACCCTCGTTGTTGGTGAGTACAGCTAACCTAATACACATGAAAATGACATAAGAGAAAACATTACATATTTGTAATGTGTTAAAAGTATTTTAGCACTTAAACACAATACGCATTTACAAGTTAACAACGTTTTTCAACAGCCAAAAATCCAGAACCCACCAAAGGTCCGCCTCATGTTGACAGCAAGTAAATATCTTGACTTTTATTATTTGTAACCCCCGACAGCCACTCATCTACTTTTCCTGTGGGCCAGAATTTTATCACATACCTTA